TCCCTGTTCTTTAAATAAAACAGGGCACACACTGACACCTGATAGTCATCTCACTGATTAAAACCACCTGAACAGATGGACTCTAATTTCACCTTCAAATGAACAGCTAATCCTAGAGATTCACATACTTTTGCCGCTCACAGATATGTAATATTGGATAATTTTCCTGAATAAATAAATGACAAAGTGTATATTTTCATCTCATTTGTTTGATTGGGTTCTCTTTGTCAACTTTCAGGACTTGCATGAAAATCGGATGATATATATTTATGCAGAAATATAGACCATTCTAAAGGGTTCACAAACTTTCAAGCAGCACTGTAAGCATTTTAGATTTTTAGATTGTAGGGTTTTTTCTTTTTTAATATTTCTATTTTATTTTATAGTTTATAATGATCTTTATTTTAATTGTAAAAACTGAATAATTGTATTGAGCTGTTATATTGTCTGCACTTCCATTTTTTTATTTTTGTCAAAAGTACAAATATTCAGCCATATGAAATCATATTTTTTGACTTGAATAAAAAAATAATTTGTATATTATTTAGATGTACAATATTTCATGATTTTATTATTCCGTTTTAGGTTACCTCACATAACGTTTTACAGTGTAATTTCATTTGTAGTGCAGATAAAAATGTGGTAGAAAAAAAATGCTCTTACCCTTCACTGAAACACAGCTTGGAACATAATGGATGCTCCGTTTCTTGACAATGGAGTAAGTCCAGTGAGCTATAGTTGCTGAATCCAAAGTACCACCGAACAGCTGTAAAAAGTGTCATGATATTATACACAAATCTTAATGTTTACCAAAATTATTTATATTCCTCAAAAGAGTTTTAACAAGGCCTTATTTGTGACGTGCTATTTCAGAGTTGCTATACATACCATATCCCGAGTTTCCCTTGACATGTCTGAGAGCAAAAATGAGTGACAAAATTAAACAAAATACAAACCGACATAAAAGAAACATCGTAACAATCTGAATGTCTCTCGTCACTAGTGCGAATGATTTTGTCTGAAGTCGCAGTGAACAGGTGAATAGTAGGCGTGACTTCTTGATTGACAGTTGCATTTCCAAACGATCGATTGTATTCTTATGCGTTCAGTCAGGAATCCCTACGACAACATTTTTATTGTAATGTATGACTGTATCGTATGCTATTATAGTTCTACTATTTTTATATAATTCTTAAACATTCTGGTCGGCACATGTAAGGGATCAGACATCAGAAGTTAAAAGTGCAATTATGTAGGCTACTTCTACTGAGAAGTCATTATGATTGCTGGAACTTAAACACGAATCAATTGCACAGTTTTTGTTCAAATCCTCAGTTTGTGTACCGACTATTAAGGTCCCGTACTTTTTTCGCTGTATAAAAGGGTTTTCACAAGTAGCCTACGCTTTACACCTTCAAACTGCAAATTCGGCGACTTTTAACTCGTGCAAAGAACAATGACTGCAAGTTTCACACAGGATAAACAACGCCTGTATGACACATGTCGTGACTGTATTCAAACAGGAAACCGAATAGAATGAGAGAAGACAAAACAAAAAAAAAACACTCTCTTTAAATAATCCAAAATACTCCAAAACATATATGTTCATGCATATACCCATATAGTCATCAGAAACTGATGGAGACAGTAGCCTACTCGGATGTGCGATGAAACACGACACATTAGCTAATCAAGTAAATGCTGCATGCTCCTCTAAATCCATAGCAATTGGTAAAATAGCCTATAGCGTTATGCATTATAAGATTAAATTTTGTAGGCCTATTCCTGCGTTGTGGTCTGTTTTATAGAGAAAAGCCTGACTGTTTATGCATTCTTGTTAAGACAGAGGATGTGAAAAAATCTCAGGTGAAAGCATGGATGCCTGTGTGTAGAGCCTGCTGACAAAGTCTGACTGATCACATGCCAGTGATGTTTTTAGCTTCAAAGACTTTTCCGAGATGGACCACGTCAGGATTAGTGAGACACAGACATTTATAGGTGAGGCTTGAACACATTAGTGACCCACAACAGGACCACAAGTGCTGACCAAGCCAAGGGCTCCATCCCACTGAGAAAACAGAACCTGCAACTTCAAACATCAGCTCTGGGGGATTCGTATCCATGTTCCGCTGTGATGAATGAGAGCTGAAGTGGACCATTGATGACCATTGAATAAAACCAGCTTTTCCTTGTGCTATAGGCTATAACACACTAAATAAGATGTAGTTTTGTGCTGTTTGAGTGCTAACTCGGGCGGAGAGGACCGCGTTAATACAAAAAGATAAGTTAATTAAAAAAAATAAATAAAACATGGTAGAAAGCAATGTTTTCAACTATTAAAAATCACCCAAATATATTATAAAATGACAGCTGTCGTTGAACAAAAAAGAACTGAGCGCGTTCTTTAGATTTTAAGAAAACAAAATTATCTATAAGAAAGCAGAGACTTTATGGAGCATTGGTTGCATGTTTCATAACTAGGCTACATTAAGCTTTGTTAGATATTCGTTTGACAGTTAAGTTTAATATTAACTTTATTAAAGGGGTGTGAATGTTCGTTGCGTTTCAAGAGGCCCAAAAAGGCCTACAAGATTTAAAAGCAGATTAACTTTGAATGATTTGCTATTAAATAGCCTACCGTTTAAACAATAAAGGGAAAAAATCGGAGGACATTCATATCATGTCTGTCTCAAATAGCGTAGAAGAGGCAGGAGGAAAACTTCTGTTGTCAGTTTTCATTGAATCTACGCATAGCAGCTTGCAGTCTGGTGCACACGAAGGTTTGTGGCTATAGCCTTCTCATTTAAAAGCCTCAAGCGTATATGGCTTAATTATTTCAAGGTTTCGTCCGTTTCTTGGGCATGGCAGTGGTTGAAAACGCGATGCCACAACTGCTATTTGTTTGTTCCGACTTTGCGGTAAAGGAGGCAAGTCAGAGAGGACACTTGAAGAAAATAACTATGACAAACCATCTCCTACAATAGAGAATATTAAAATGATTTCAATTATATTTAATTTGACAAAATCATTTCCTGCAAACGGCTTCTGAATCAATACAAATTCAAATAGGCCCGAAGTAATCTGGCACTCTGATTTGGTAATCAAGGTTGTGAATTGGACAAAGCTGTGGGATGGAGACAATGCACAACCAAACAACGTCAATTGAAAAAGTAATCTGATTGACACCAGAAGATGAAACAATAAACAAAGAATGGGCTGCCATATGTTTAACAGCTGCTCTTTAATGTGTAGCCTACATTATGCACAAATAAGACAGCAGGGGGCGATAATAAGTGAATGTGTAATTGCCAATGAAAATCAAACGTTCTGGGCTCGTTTCTCGGTAACGATCATATTTGTGTTCCCTACGTTCCCTTTCGAACGTTAGTTCCTGTTCTGCGGGCATTTATTATAAATATTTTAACACGAACGCGGAAGTTGACTACTCGCTTTTTAAGAGTTGTTGTTTGTTCATGACGTGTTAAATGCCAATCGCTAGTTATTAGGGCCTTTAGCACTATAATATTTACCGAGTCATTTATATAGATCAGTGGTCTTTAGGCTTTTTATTTTCTTAAATATTCAAAATTGTATAGGCATAATTATAATTGTGCGAGTCCTTTGTTAAGAACCTTCACACACTCGCTGCTTCGTTCATCTGATGTCCATTTGCAATCTTTTATTTTCGCATTTTCATGGGGTCAAATTCTAAACAAGCTTCAGCGCCAGTGGAGACATGGAGGCAACGTTCACCCATGTAGTGAACCCTGTGATGTGTATGTGACAAGGGTATTAAGTCCCTTGGTTCGAGGTGCTTCGTGTTGCGAGGTTCATGTTGCCAGTAGCCCACTGCAGTGAGAAACTGAGCGGTCTGCTCTTTGCTCCGTGAAGCGATAACGATGACAGCAATGCTGCACGACCTTGTGGTGAGTTGTTGGGAATGAAGGGTGGATTGTAGAAGAGGATGAAAATATGCTATGGGAAGATGTCTTGACGAATTGACGAAGCAACACATCGGCAATATGGCCGGTTCTCATGAACGGTATGATATTTATACTACTTCGCTGATATGTTTTATCCTTTTTTTTTCCGGCCTGCTACTAAACATGAAACAAGATAAGAAATCAAAGCTAAATCAAAATGCTAGCATACATACATTTTAATAGTTTTTTTTTTTTTTACATAAGATGTTACAGATGTGATCAACAGTATGGTAATTTTTCCCTTTTCACAGCTTTTAAAAAGGCATCCATAAGTGTTTCAGTGAAGAAAATCACACTGGCTGATAGTTGTCAATCCTTTCCAGCAAGGTCTCAGAGTAACCAGGAGAATAATACCTGTAAAAGAAGGGCCAATCAGTGGAACAGCAAAAACTATACAGCACACTAACGTTTAGCATTATAAATGCACTTTGGTTTAAAAAGGTGTTGATATTGTACTGGTTATTATTCATATAAATGTGTAAGAACCTGACAATCTCTTCAGGGTAGCAGTTGTTGATTGCATTGATATATTCCTGAATTGCAGAACCAGGTTCTGCTTTGATCTCCTGTACTTTCTTCAGACCGCCACTGGTAACAAACAAGCGACGTGCCTTACTGTCATGAGGAAGAACCTGTAAGATTGGGAGGAAATAGAAAAGCTATATGAACTATTCTTATTGGGATTAACAAATGCTGATCTCATAAAATGTGTTGATGAAGTTCCCGCTACCTTACTGAACTGGCAGATGACATGTTTAAGAATGTTGCTGGGAGCTTCATAGAGAAGAGGCTCCAGTGCTGGTAGATAAGTGCACTTTTGAAGGATACTCTTCAGTGCCTTCTTGGCCTTTTTTAGCATATAAACAAAGCAAAGAAGAGACAACAATTACTAAAAATCTAATCTAAATGTCAGTGGTAAAAAATCATTTACACCAAAATGAAAAACGGTACCTCTATCAGTCACTTTAAGAATGGGCTCACCTTGACCTGCAGGTCTTCAGAACTTTCAGTGTCCAAATAGAGATTTAGGAGTTTAGGGAACACATTGGCCACAGCAACAGCTTTTGCATGCTCGGGTGTGTGTCGGCCGATCTGGCCAAATGCCCAAGCTGTTGCTGCTTTGATGTGATCTTCTTGCTCTTCCTCCAGACAGATAGCCAACTGTGGCACTCCCTACAGAAGTGGAGAATCAATTATGATCATAATCAGTATTATGAGAGAAATTCAGTACTGTTCAAAAGTTTGGGGTTGGTAAGATTTTTAAAATATTTTTGAAAGAAGTCTCTTATGCTCACCAAGATACAGTAATCAAAATAGAGTAAGAGCAGTAATATTCTGGAATATTATTACAATTTAAAATAACTGTTGTCTTTTTTATATTTATAAAAATGTAATGTATTCCAGTGATGGCAAGTCTGAATTTTCAGCAGTCATTATTCCAGAATTCAGTATCACTTGATCCTTCACAAGTCATTCTAAAAAGCTGATTTGGTGCTCAAGAAGCATTTTTTTTTTACAATTATTATCACTGTTGAATATGTGTGTACTGCTCAGTATGCATGTGAAAACCATGATACTTTTTTCAGGATTGTTTGATCAGTAGAAAGCTCAAAAGAACAGCATTTGTTTGAAATTTAATTTTTTTTGTAACAATGTAAAACTCTCTCACTTTTGATAAATTGAATGCATCCTTGCTGAATAAAAGGATTAATTTCTGTCAAAAAATAAATTATACTGACCCCAAAATTTTGTGTTATGTGTAGTTAAATTCAAATTTGACATGCAAGCTTATGAAAGGATGTGATAACAGACTTTAGATACAATCACAGCCATGGCTAAGTTCTCAGAGTGTGTAGCCACATAGCCCAGCATCATGATCCCCGGCAGGCGTACATTCCCTTTGGAGTCCCCGAGGTAGTCAATCACAGCTGCTACGCCCCCCACATTCACTATTATCTGGGACAGCTGAGTAGGAAACACACAATGCAAACAAGCAAACACATAAGCCAGTGTGACATAATGATAAACAATTAGTGAGGCAGACCAGAAAAGCAAAACAGTTTTGGGCAGGTGAAAAAAATGGGTGATGCAATGCGGTTTCCAATTGTCTGTTTCCTGTGTTGCACTGGTGATAAATAACAGACCCACATTCTCCATGGTTTACAGACTAGCTGCCTCACACCATGTTATTTAAACAGGGGGTGTCAAAGAGCTGACAAAGTGGAGATTCCAAACTTACCCAAGCATCTTGAAATCATTTAGTGGCTATGTTATGTATGTGGTAGGTAGGTACCTCGGGGTTGTGTTTTGTGATTTCCCGAATAAGAGTGGCAACATTCTTCCGAACATATTCATCCGGGTCCTTTAGGCAAACCAGTGCAGCGGGGAATATCTCGGCCTCCACCACCATCTCGGCTACGTCTACGGAGTGCTTGGCGATTTGGCTGAGAGCTGAAAAAACCTGCCTCTGTAAAGAGGAGGAAAAAATGTTAAGCCTACATGTAACTGATTACAAAATCTGTAGCCTGTGTCACCTTCAATTTGGCATCTGGGTTTAGGATCATCTGTGCTAGGTGGGCGATTGCCCCAGTGTCCACCACGGTTTGAGCCAGCTCTGGGGAGTGTTTGGCTATGTCACTCAGAGCGGAAGCTGCAACCCTCTTCAGGGCGATTTCAGGTTCCTGGATGCATAGCACGAGCAGAGGCACAACTCCAGCATCAACCACTGCCTGAGACAGCTCTGCACAGCAGGAGAAGAGATGAACAAAAGGAACATTGACGAATTGTGAGAAAGAATAAAAAACGACCTTTTTATGCAAACTTACGTGCATTATGTCTGGCAATGTAGCTTATTGCCCATGCAGCAGCCTCTTTGACCCCAGGGTCAAACTCCTCCAGGGAGATGACAAGAGCATCCAGTGCTCCACAGTCCACCACGGCCTGGGCCAGTTCAGGGGAGTGCTTAGCAACAGCCCGAAGCACGAATGCTGCAGCTTTCTTATAGAAACGCTGTGTCTTTCATATCCCAGTAATCCAGAGGGAAAAGGACAAAGCAATTGACCAGTAAATACACTAAAATGTTCATAAATCACCTGCAAATCTGCCTTTAATGAACAGTAAGTGATCTATCACATTCTATATTATTCAGTTACATAAAAGGACCTTCTGTGGAAAGTGTTTTATACTTCTGATGAGGCCTCTCTGACAGCGTAATAGCATTCTAACAATGAGTTTTAGAGCAAAGCCTTTGGACCGCCACTTTATAGTGTTTTGTTTTCTCTGCTGAAGTAGACCAATATCACACCATGTCCATTCATTTAGGCCAGAGGAGAACTGGACCCCAACAGAGCCTGGTTTCTCCCAAGGGTGTTTGGTTTTTCCTTCAATTTCTGTCACCTGAGGTAGTTTGGGTTCTGTCTTGGCACTGTTGCCTTTGGCTTGTTTAGCTGGGGTCTAAAAGACATCAATTTGCCAGCACTGACACTGTCAGGTGAGCATAAAAAAACTGAATTGAGCTGAATAATAAGACTATTGTCTACTGCTTAATAGATGAATCCAGTTTGTTCATAATTCATTAATTTTGCAACATTGACACTGACACTGTTATTGAACTGAATTGAACCAAAATTGAACTGACTTAAGCCGAATAACCACACTACTGTCTTCTTATCACCGAATTGAACTTGTTTCATAATAAATTAACTTAACAGATATTGAACTGAACTAAATAAGCACAGAACTGAATGCAGTTGCATAATGACACTTATAGCTGCTTTATAGCAGAATTTGGATTTGCCTGATTTGCATCATTAATTCTGTTATTTTCCTGTTTAATACTGTCAAGTCAAGTAAATAAATTAACTTGACTTGACTTATTCTGAACTATTCTTCTCCTGGCAAAAGAGACATGGTCTGAGATCTGGAGATGTTGTACTACCATGATCTTTAAATTTTCATAATGAAACAATATTTAAATGTTCAGTACCTGGCAACAGTCCTAAGTCCTGTTACTGTTTAAAGTCATTGAAGTTAAATAGTGCAAACAAACCGTTTTTGCTTTGTTAAAAAACATTTAAAGAATAACAGTGCAAAAAATATGTAAATTATATAAGCATGGATTGCTTGACTGACAGTGTTAATGGAAATTTTTGCATTGTGCAAAATCAAATGTAGGCATTAAAGTTCGACACCTCAACGCAAACCTATTCATTCAAATTAGAGCTGAGAGGCACAGCTAAAGAAACTCACGTTTTGCTCAGCCAGGGAGTACACAAGCTGAGGAAGAATGTCTCCCTTTACTACAGCCTCAGCCAGGTCATCGTTATAGTTGGCAAGCCTTCCGAGAGCCAGAGCTGCTGTCTGCTGAATAGTTGGGACTGCATCCAAAAGGAGAGGCCTCAAAAGGGACATTACACCTAAGCCAAAAAGAGTGAGCACATTTGTGCAAGGGAGAAAACGAGTGGAAAGACACTCGAGAGCAGATGAGGGGAGGATATACTTTCAAAGATTCAAACCATGTAATAAAATATATCTAAACAAAATATTCTTCTGAGTTCCAAAAGAGATCAGGGTAAGCATGAGTGTATGTATTCCTTATTTCTGTAATATTAATTTAAAAATGTAGCTTGGTAACTTATTTTGAAGACATTGTGTCCAGAAACATTCATTTTTACTGTGTTTGGGAGAAAATGAAAGATATTGTTTTAGATCCTTGTACAAAGAAACACTTGCTATGGCCTCTTTTTTACCCCCATCAGTCCTGAGTGTTGAAAGGTTTGAAATAAACGCTTCTTCTCTAACATTGTAGGTAAGGACAAACAAACAAATAAATAAATAAAATAAAATGAAATTTGAATTTACTTGAGTCATGTGAAGGTTGGAATTTGGCGAATTTGTAAAAAAAAAATTACAATTATATTTAAATTATTAAATTATAAATTATATAAGTATTATATAATAAGTATATACAAGCAAATGCCATACCACAATTCATGCAGAAACCTCCCTTAAACAAAATATTAATTTTAAACACTCACCAGCATTTTGAAGTGTTTCAGTATTTTCCAAATAGGATTATAAAAAAAAAAAAAAAGATTTTGCATTCCACCATCATAGTATGTCACAGTAAAAAAAAAAAAAAACCTTTTTAAAACATTATTTAAAAAAAAAAGAAAAAGAAAAAGAAAAAAAACATTTCAAACAAATCGGGCTTTTAAACACAGCTCAAAGCTGAAAACTGTATTCATTAACTTCAATGTCACTTTTAACAAAGTCATGCTCTCATAATGAGCAAGGCTTTTCAACAAATGTTTAAATGCTGTTGAATGTAATTAAGAACATGTAGGCCTACATTTATTCGTACGGTTCAGCATCAGCCAAGCAATTTTCTCAAAATGTTTATTCATTTTTAAAAAGAGATGAATTTGAATGTCACAAATTGAATGTAAAACATGTCCACTAGCCTTTGCTCATTTCCACCTCTAAATTCACTACTAAGTAACATCACTGGTGGTAGGGATTTTCTTATGTCTTGTTTATTCTATAATAACTTAAGCAATTTATAGTGTTATAGGTCCAAATTAGTTTTAGAAGATACTAACGCGTTGCAAGTCTGAGTGGGCAAAAAAAGAGAGAGAGAGAGATTACAGCCTTGAAAGATATTCAGTCAGACTATGGAAGTCCCAGCACCGATTAAATGTGCTGAGAAACTGCCTTATTCTACAAGATTTCTGAAGACTTTGAAGACCATGTCGACGTACCAGATTATTACTGAAACTGTCAACTAACATATAAGAGATGAACTGCATACCCCGTTAAAATAAATAGCTTTCATTACCTCAGTGTAAGTAGCCTATTCAGTTAAGCACTCCTCGACTGGAGAGATTCACTGACAAATTCTCCGTTACTTTGCACAAAAAGGTCTGACTGGGTACTTACAGGCTACTTATAAGCTTGTCATCTATCTGAGCTACAGTTGGTGAAGTCAGCACCTGCCTCACAATACCTTCTTCGCAACAGATCCTTTTCTTCAAAAGGATTTGATCGTAAATTAATCAGATTAACTTCTTCACGTTTATTACCAGTTTACCGCACAAGCATTTCATATATTGCCATCCGCGCTTAAGGATGTAGGCTGTCTTTATGCGTCAAAAAAAAAAAAAAAAATTCCCCGGCTGTTCTCTACTGGACCACACTTTATTATTATTTCTTTAAGTTTAATGTCTACTGAGAGATGAGCTAATACTGGAAAGGATAAAGGGTCCTCTTGAATACTAAAACATCAAGTTTGTTCACCATAATACTTATTTTACATACAAGTCTGAATAAATATATTCGGATATTGTGCAAATTCATGAAGATTTTCAGCTGTATGTAGATTTCTCTCTCTTTGTATGATTCGAAGCAGCATTAAAACGCAAGAAAACGATTGAAAGTGTAAAATGTTTTATTTAGATGTTTTATACTGTGCAACAGTCACAATACAATAGCTGTCAATAGTCTACAATCGACCAATAAGACAATGAACACTGAAGACATCAAAATATTGTCCAGAACAAGAAGTTTGGGGTATAATAGTGGCTGTTTGTCTTCTGACAAATTCGTGTATGTAATCGCTTGAATGCAGTCTGAAAGATATAGGCTGTGCGCGTGCTATACAGGACTGGAGCGTGACCTCGAGACCAAACTGACGGACCCGAACCGGCACAGTGGAGCAAATCGTACAATAACTGCAAAGATTAAACTTGAATTTCCAAGGACTTTGAATAATGAAAATTATTACGCCGACTACAACTTAACGTTGCATTTCTTCATCCCTTTTAACGCGCAGTCCTAATATAGTATTTTGTCCTTTATTTTTTAACTATATATATATGCCTTTCTTTGATACATTATTAAAGGCCAGAATATACCAGGAATGTTTAGTAACTACTCCAGAAAAGGCAAACTAATATCAAAAGTAAATGCTTTTAATCATGCTTTTAAAGAACATTAAAATACACATGTAAAATACAAGCAACAGATAACGCAGTTTGTTTAGGGAAACTGTAGACCGAAAGTAAAAATATATAAAAAGGTAGGTATAATTCAGTCATTTCTGCATTTTGAAATTGCCACAACCGTCGCTCTGCGCTCCACTTTGCAATCAAATGGGCCTGACGTTCTCACGCAAACTTAGAAATTCCAGCAATGTGAATGAAGTGCGTCATTTCCGCTACATTAAAGTTACATGTATAATATATTGATAATAATGACAAAAAGAAATGGATCTACATGACACTACGTTGGCATGGAAATAGCTGGAATATATCTGGCGTTGGCTTCATCGTGTAGTCCCTCATCATCCCGATGATGTGGAAGATCCGTTCAGCGCCGTCTTTCGCACTTTGCTGCCATAGGTGAACTGTCGATTTGGGCTCGTCATCGTCGTGCCATTAATAGGATTGGAAATATGGGTGAAATGAGGTTGTGAAGGCTGAACCAGTGTGCTTGGACTCGGTAGTGGTGAGGAGGTGGATGGAACTCCAGCGGGACTGCTGGCCTTATCGCTGGCTGAATCACTTTCAGAGCGGTTTGTATTGTTCACGCCATCTTGTGGATGGGTTATCTTCATTTTTTTACAGCTGGGCCGCACGCGGTATTTCAGAGGCAGTGGTCCATTCTTTCGGAAAGTGCGAAAATAACAGAAGGCACCTTATTATTGAACGGTGAATACTGAGCAACTAAAATTCTCAATCCACAAATTAACTAATTATCGAAAGATAAATAAATTACCTGCTTGAATATTTCACTTACTTCGAGATTTTAGACCAAGTGTGTAAAGTAACAGTCAGCAGTCAGATTTGACAGAAAAAAAACGTCAGAACTTACTCTTCTCCAAGTGTAGATGTAGGCAATGTCCATTAATGTGTAGTAATCCTTCAAAGGCTCATCCTCATACATAACTTCAATCTATTAGAACAAAGAACGATAATATTAAAAAAACAAGCACCAGTCAATCAATATCACACCATAATGGATGATGCAAGATCAGCAAATAAATAAATAACAATACCCCCTCTTTCTATAAAATTATGTAATGAAACACTGAACTACTAAACTTCCACTGTAACAAACAGATTTCAAAAAAGGCCAGAAGCTAAAACTTCATCTGCAATAACACAGATCACATTACCTGAAAAGTAGGCGGTATATCCATTTTGCTTCTCAGAAATTTCCTCAAATGCATCACAGTCATTGCAGCAGGGCACTGTAAGTATCTTTTATTATTAACCTGTGTGGTTAAAAATAAAATAAATAACACACAAATATATTATTCAGATACACTTTACTGTTGGTGTAATCTGTATCACCATCATTACAGAGAAAAAAAAAAAAAAGACTTTCAGCATCAGCAAGCACTTCTTAATTACCTCTTCTTTTTGCCTCTCATCTGTGCTGCCTTGCTGTTGGGCCCTGAACAATAAATAGTACAATTGTTGTAAATTAAATACTAAATTATAACTTCTCATGTTTCAAATAAAATATCTTTACACTAGAGAATGGCCACTTCAGATTTTTGTACACATTTTTAAAACTCTTGCAAAAGCACAGACAGATACACTAACAGCAAAAATCACTTATACAGACATATGTAAACATACCTTTGATCAAAAAACTCAATTGACAGACTGATAATTTCATCATCTGTGATGATTCGCTTGTCTTCATCAGCAACTTCTCCTCGATCCTCATTTGATCCATTTGCAGCTTTGGAAAAAAAAAATATGAATCATAGCTTAAATTTCAACAAATTTCAACAATTAGACTGAACAGTTACACAACACAGTCTGTGCAAACGGTTATCCTAACAAAACCTATTTATTTACTTGGGTACATTAAATACTTACCATCAACAGATGGGTGTTCAGCATAAAAATCTCTCCTACGCTTCATTTCATCTGCACAGAAAAAGAAACTTCCAGATCAAAGCATGTGTAAATAATTACAAACAATAAAAATGATCTTTCACAGTGACTGACTTACTTTTAAAAAGACCAGGAACCAACTTGTATACAATGTCCTGTAGAGTTTTGTCAGACCTGTGGGGGGAGGGGTGTTGGTCAAACCTTTTTTGGGGGGGGGGGCTAGGCACTTCAAACAATGCTGCTGCAACCAACTCAAATTCATGTTATTTCCTAATTCTCATATTAAAAGGCATGATCAGAAAACACAATATACAGCATTTGAGATAGAAACAAACAAGATGTCTTGATTATTAGATGATTATTACTATGAATAACTATTTGCAGCAAGTGGAAAGATGTAACAGACAGTGATTTTAAAGGTTACCGAATATTGAGAAGTGGCTTTGTTTTGTGGACCTGTACATCACATATGGGACAGTATTTACTGGTTTCCAGGTACCGGACAATGCACATTTTACAAACTGAGGA